TGAAACTTAGCAAGAGATGGGGAATAGAAGGACATAAAAAAGAATTGTTGAAGGCTTTGAAAGAAAAGACAAGGATGAACAATAAGCGGAAGAACAGGGAAAGGACAGAGTGAGTCCTAAAAGTTGACCTCATCACAGAGTATTTATATAAGAGATATGGAGCTGCAACATAAGTTTGCTAAATACTTTGAGTAAATTCACATCATGACACCAAAATTTATGCAGGACATGTCACTGTTATTTACAGTTCATTAAAAAAAAAAAAAGTAAAAGGATAGCTATTTTGGAAAAAAAAAAAAATGAATCACACACTTGAAAGGACCTTGAAAAATCATCTAGCTCTTGACAAAGGAGTATAGCTGTCAGCCTCCAGCCGTTAGCACCTGCAGCATCTGTCTCGGACTTCTAGCCAAGGTCACACTCTTCCAGGGCATCGCCCAGCCAATAACTGAGCACGGCAGGGCCACCATAGTCTGGCTCTGTGCACCTAACAAAAGCCTCCTCTTCGCCCTCGGCTCCTGAGCTCCCTTTCACGTTGTCCAGGACTCTGTGAGGTCTACCTATCTCACACTTCCTATCACAGGAATCAGATCAGCATTCCTTTGCATAGGCTTTCTCCACCTAATCATGCCTGCTCGGCTTTTTACCTTTCACGGGCATTATGTCCCCAGTCCCCCAGGAAATTTCATGAACTCCTAACTCTACCTCCACGGCTGTCTCCTGATGGATACAACTAATGCAAAGAACATATTCACAATTCACGTATCTGACAAAAGACAGACTCTTAAGACAACCCAATTTTTTTTTTTTTTTAGATGGACAAAGACTTCATTTAAAAAGATATGCAAATGGCAAACAAGCACAGGAAAAGATGTTCAATATCATAAGCCCGGTGAAAAACGAAAAGTAAAATCACAGTCAGATACCATGACACACCGATCAGAATAGCTAATATTGAAAAGACTGACAATTCCAAGTGAGAAAGAGGATGTGTGGCAACTTACATTTGCATACATTGCTGGTGGGCATGTAAAATGGTACAATCACTTTGGAAACCAGTTTGGCAGTTTCTTATAAAGTTAAATTTGTATTTACCATATGACTCAACATTTACACTTCTAGACATTTACTCCAGAGAAATGAAACCTTGTACACAAAACACCTTGTACAAAAATGTTCACAGCAGCTTTATTGATAATAGCAAAAAACTGGCAATAATCCAAACAATAAATGAGTGAACAAATTACGGTATATCCATTCCATGAAAAGAGTACTTAGCACTTAAAAAGAACAATGTACTGATACGTGCAACCACATGAATGAATCTCGAAGACACTGAATCAAAGTGGCTTCTGCGTCCAAGAAGCCAAATACTTAAAAGGACATATATGATTTCATTTCTATGAGGTTCTAACACTGGCAAAACTAATCTTGGGTGATAGAAATTGAATGAGAGGTTGCCTCAAGGAGTGAGGGACTGACTGCAAAGAAGTACAAGGAAATTTCCCCGGGTGATGGAAATTTCTACACCTTGATTCAGTGGGGGTTACACAGGGGTATATATTTGTCAAAACTCATCAAACTCTACACGCAGAATGTATGCATATTACTACAAGTAAATTATACCTCAATAAAATTGATTTTTTAAAATGTATTCCCGGCATGTATAAATACTATACTAAATAAATACTAAACAAATATATAAATACTGTATCTAATAGAATCTGTTGGTATTGCAAGTAGAATATTTATCTCATTTACATTTAGATGGTTATTGCTAGAAAGTAAAGAGGCTGTTGGTCTGTTTATTTTTCTTACAGCCAGCAGCCTTATCAAATTCCCTTATTCTGTTGTTTTTAACAGAATTCCTTTGGGTTTTGTAGGCATATAATCATATAAACAGCAAAAAGAAATAACTTCATCTCTTATTATCCAACATTTTATAGATTACTTTGTTTACCTCTCTTATTGCATTTTCTAGTCTTCAAAAGAATGTTGAATAATAAAGAGCATCACCAGATGGCCTTTTCTCTACCTTCAAGGAAATAACTGAGTGTTTAGACTACTACCTGCAGTTGGATTTTTCATAAAGGGTTTATCAATTTGTAGTTTCTTTCCATTTCATTTTATTTTGTTAAATTTTTTCAAATGACTTTGCAGCTTAGATAACATACGGCTTTTCTCCTTTAAACTGCTGATTCCAATGAAATATGCTTATAGATTTCCTAATATTGCAACAGTTTGCTTCCCTTGAATAAAACATCTTGAATTACTTTTGATATGGTACTGGATTCTCTTTTAAATACATATTCATAAGCTAACTTGAACTTGGGAATTTTTTTATACTATCTTTATCAGGTTACTATAAGGCTGGCTTCATAAAATGATTTAGGGAGTTTCTTTTTCTTTGCCCTAAAAGAGTAAAAAATATTTAATTATGCATTTTTCTTTTTTTTGAAGATTTATTTATTTGAAAGAGAGAGAATGAGAGCGAGCGAGGGAGGGAGGGGCAGAGGGAGAGAGAATCTCAAGCAGACTCCCCAATGAGTGTGGAGCCCATCTTGGGGCTCAATCTCACAACCCTGAGGTCATAACCTGAGCCAAAGTCAGATGCTTAACCAACTGAGCCATCCAGGAGTCCAATCCATTGTTCTTTAAAGATTAAAAAGGATTTAAAGGATTTACCTATGTGTCAAGTCTTCGTGCTATTTTCTATAATGGATATTTAATTTCCAGTTTTTCTAGGGTAATTAGTCTCTTCATGTTTTCTACTTATTGGGTCAGTTTTATTAGAAAGTAATTCACATCTCCTAGGTTTTCAAATGTGTCGTTCTTGAGTTTTATTTTATTTTTTTTTAAAGTTTTTTTTTAAATTTATTTATTTGAGAGAGAGAGAGAATGAGAGATAGAAAGCACGAGAGGGAAGAGGGTCAGAGGGAGAAGCAGACTCCCTGCTGAGCAGGAAGCCTGATGCGGGACTCGATCCCGGGACTCCAGGATCATGACCTGAGCCGAAGGCAGTCACTCAACCACCTGAGCCACCCAGGCGCCCTCGTTCTTGAGTTTTAGTTAGTATAGTACTTGAATTTCTGTATCATTACCTCCTTTCTCATTTCTACCTTGTATAATTTTGTTGTTTTTTTTAAGTCGAGGTCAAAAGAGGATTATCTAGGGCACCTGGCTGCCTCAGTTGGTAGAACATGTGACTCCTAATCTCAAAGTCAGGAATTTGAGCCCCATGTTGGGCGTTGGGCTTATTTAAAAAATAAAAAGTAAAAAATAATCACACACACACGCACACACACGGGACACCTGGCTGGCTAAATTGATGGAACATGTGACTCCTGATCTCAGGGTAGAGAATTCAAGCCCCACACTGAGTGTAGAGCTTACTTAAAAAAAAAAAAAAAAAAAAAAAAAATCATCTATCTTATTGGTCTCTTCAAAGAACCAGCTTTAGGATTTATTTATGTAAGTTTGGGAATTTTCTATTTTATTAATTTCAATTGATATTTTTATTGCTTCTCTTACTATCATTTTGTTGCTAATTAAGATATACAATAAGTATGTATCTTTTTCTTTAATTATAAAGACATTTAAGCCTATAGAATTGCCTCAGTACAACTTTCATTTGGTCCCATGTTTTCTCGTAGGAAGTGTTCAGATTTTAATTGCTTATTGTATGTCATTTTAATTTTTATTTCCTTCTTGATTCAAAGGAAATAAGGTAATTCTAAAGCCCAGTGTAATAGTTTAAATTACTGGAGTCTTTCATTATTATTTATTACTAATTTTGTTGGATTATGATCAGAGAATATGACATAAAATGTCTGGGTTTTTAAGGTATTTTATGTGGCCAAGTATAGAGTGTTTTTATACATATTCCATGGACCAAGTAAATTATATATACGTATATAATATATATGTAATATACATGTATTTATGTATATACTATATATACACACATACTATGTATGTAGTATATATGTTGTAATTACTATATATATGATGCAAAATTCTGAGCATTTAAAATTATCACGTAAACCACCCATCCACCCTCACACGCATGCTCATGGTTCTTTTTTTTTCATAGCATGCATGTATCCTTTATGATCTTGTAACAATGTAATTTACTTATACAGTGCTTATTGTTCATCCTGTCAATTCTACATGAATGTAAAGCGCAGGAGAGCTGCTAAGTTTTGTCTGCGGTTCACTGATGTATCCCAAAAGCTACAACGGTGCCTGGCACCAGAAAATACATTAAATAAATAAATCATCATTACCACATGACCACGCAAAAAGCAAAACAGCAATACTACCGGTGTCCATTCAATTCACTAACATCTGTTTCAACATCTGCCACGTGTCAGAATCATGCTGGTGCTAAGTATATGTAGATAAACAAGTCCCCGTCCTCACCCAGCCAATAGGGCATCGGAGAAGGAACGGGAGCCATGGAAGGATACCGTGAATCTACAAGAAATGTATTCCTTTCATAAACGTACTTTTTGTATGTATTGATCTCAAAATGGCCGCAGTGGCTACCTTTTCGACTCTATTGTCGTCCTTTGCTTCTAACAACTAAAAACCATCGGCTATCAAATCCCTAAAACGTACTGAGGGGACTTCTAAAAGAGACAGCAACCTTGGCCAGTAATCGCCCATCCACCGAACGACCTCGAACGGTTTCCCCAGGGCGCGGGGCTCCAAACCCCACAACACTCTAGAGACCGCGGCCGGAATGCAGAGTGTTTCAACGAGCGTCCCGGCTGCCCTCCGAATAGGTCAAGGTCGGACGGGCCCCGCGAGGAAGGAACCCGTCTCGCCCACAACAGGCGCTCGCCGACACTTTGGGTCCACGGACGGAGCCCCAACCACCAGGGAGGAAGAAGCGCAGTCCTCGGCGGAGACTCACCCACCAACACCCGACACCACACACGAATGGGCAGCGGCAGCCGCCGGGCGCGTCCGCCTCGCAGCCTTCGCCCCGCCCCTCGGACCGGAAGAAATTGCCGACGCTTCCGGCGCCTAGAAGGCCTGTGGTTGCCTCTGTGATGTCGTGGGTTCAAAGGGCTCCCTTGGTCCCGGGTCCCGGAGAGGAGGGGGACGTGTTTGACGAGGAGGCGGACGAGTCGCTCCTGGTGCAGCGGGAATGGCGGAGCCACATGCAGAGACGAGTTAAAGTAAAGCTGCGCGGCGGGTGCGGGGTAGATATGCCGGGTTGGGGACAGGGGCAAGGAGCTGTCAGGAGTCAGGGTCGCGAGAGTAGAGGCCCGCGTGGTCCCAGCCTGGCCCGGCGCTGCCCTCCCTACCCCTGCCACCTAGATCCTGCTAGGATTTTCCACTTGAAAGCGTGTGAAGAAACCACGGGGCGGCGCGTTAGACGCAGGGCACAGACCAGAATAAGGTGGGTCTGACTTTGAAAAGATTGCAGTTTGATGAGGACCACAGAGAAGGTGGGGGAGAAACATAGACACTGACTATACTAATTAGGGGTGTCAAAGGACATGTGGTTGCTTGAATGGGTGAAGAGCCTAAAGTTAGGAGTGGTACTAATCGAGACATACGGAAAAAGTGAACTTAGGAATGTCGAAGAGCAATAAAGGAAAGCTACTGTGGAATACCGTGGCTAAGTGAAGGAATACCAAAGTTGGTGTCTTTGTTCGGTGTGAATTACCCCTATCTACTTTGTCTCACTATTCACTGAAACTAAGCTTAATACCACACACTCAATTTCCAGTTGGAACACTCAGAGCTGAGTTCACAGGGTGAGGTCCACTTCCACCTAATATCCTTGCCATTCATTATGTTGCGCTTGATCTGCCCTTGTTTGTTTCAGTAAAATGTTTGCTTAGCCCAAAGACCGTGTTATCAGTTTCAGAAACGCTTCATGTGAGGCGGGGCCTAGGCAAGTTAGTAATCATCTTCGGCTTCTGTGGCACCATCGCAGATGCAGGCAGGACAAAATCCCTGCCCGCAGAGAATTTACAGTTCATTTGAATTTAGATATCAAGCAAAATGTCTAAAATCACACTTTTCATCTTTTTCCTAACACAGTTTCCTCTTTCCCGACTTGAGTTGATTATTGAAGACCTCCAATAACCTCTTTATTACCCTGCCTTCTCACCCACTCACACCAGTGTTGCCAAGGGGCCAGACGTGTAACTCCCTCTGTTTCCTTTCAGTGAAGGTGTTGTTAACACAGGGTTTTTTAAAACTGTATAAGAATCAGTATTTTTAAATGTGCCAAATAAGTCTACTTCAAAAGTGGGATTGTGCCAATAATAAACCTTTATGAGAAGCATAGTCTGCTTCGGTTGTGTGGCTATGCCATTTGTTGTAGAACCATTATGTTAAATAGTAAATAGTAATTTAGTTAAAGGCCCATTTCATCAATTTTCCAAACTGGTTCTATGACTTTCTAGAAAAACCTACAGGGGTTTACTTGGTGTTAATTACAGCTGCAGTTCTTCATTACTTATTTTTAGGAAGGTTATAGAGATGGAATAGATGCCGGCAAAGCAGTTACTCTTCAACAAGGCTTCAATCAAGGTTATAAGGAAGGTGCAGAAATCATTATAAACTATGGACAACTCAGAGGAACATTGAGGTAACTTTTTAAACTTAAATGCTGACTCGTTTTAACCTCAGTAACACTGGAGGACTTGTTAAAAGTAGTATGTAAAAATAAAGCACTTAAACTGAGGTGCTTTTTCTAGTGTTAAATCCACAAAAGAGTACTGCGGAGCATAGAATAATATGGCCTTCAAAAAGTCAAAATCATCAGTTCATCCACTTTTGATATGTGAGTCAGGTGTTTTCCTTCACTGCAAAGAAAATGATAGGAAGGTGTATATTTTTTGCTACCTGAACTACCACTAATTTGTATCTCAAAGTAATTTAAAAGATCTTCAGGTTTTGAATAAAGCTTTTAATCTTGCACGTGTGGCAGAACACAGTATAACAGACTTCTAGACTAGAAGTGCATGATGAAAATTATAACTGGTAATAGAGAAATGATTCCATTTACTTTAGTGCTGAACGTTGAACACCTGTCAAGATTCCATAGTAATAACAGCATATATCAGACTCAAGTGGTCAAATGGCAGAAAGAGCTAGGAGCATGACAGGCTTGTCATCTTTGACACTTTATACCTTTTAAATTGTCCTCTATAGAAAAACAAACAAAAAAGTATAAAACGGTTCAAAGATTCACTAATTTTAAAAAGTAGGAAATAAAAGTTATCAAAACAAAAAAAATTGAGGTTTTAGGAAATTCAGCTGTAAGAAATCAGAATTTATACAGTAGGAAAATGATCAAGTATTCATTTTACATCAAGTTAAATCTTTTACAAGCTCAGAAAGTTTATTGCTAAATCTTTTATATCAGTTGATTCCATTTTTAAAACATGATTACTCTTCGGGGCACCTGAGTGGCTGGGTCAGTTAAGCATCCAACTCTTGATTTCTGCTCAGGTCATGATCTCAGGGTTGTGAGACTGAGCCCCTCAGGGTGGCGTTGGGCATGCAGCCTGCTTAAGATTTTCTCTCTCCCTTTCTTAAAAAAACAAAACAAACAAAAAAAAACACAGGATTACTTTTCACAACAACCATTATTTTATATCATGATTACCTGAACAATCTGAAATGTCAGAAAATAAAAGTATTGTCTGTACTAGAAAAATAAAGATATCTATTAGGACTAGAAGAATTCTTACCTTCTTCAAGAAAATTATGAGTTATCTCAACAGTGATTATAACAACGTTGGGAAAGAGAAGTTGCCTCAAAACTTTTTTTCTACCCTTTAGTTTTGATGGCAAGTGACTATATGGTTAGAACAATTGTTTTCAACCTTGGCTGCACCTTGATATCAGCTGGGAAGCCTTAAAAAATAATACCCCCAGAGATTCTGATTTCGTTGGTCTGGGATGTGACCTAGGCCTTGACAGTTTTAAGAGCCGCCCAGGTGATTCTAATGTACATTCAGGTCTGAGAATCACTAGTCCAGAGGCTGTGTGCTGTCCTTAAAGGAGAAACTAATTTCTGTGATCTCTTTCCCTGAGTTGCATCCCTCTTCAGCGGAAGCTACACAGTCATAAAGAAAAAATCTAAAATCAAGAAAAGTGGATGTGAGGGGCGCCTGGGTGGCTCAGTTGTTAAGCGTCTGCCTTCGGCTCAGGTCATGATCCCAGGGTCCTGGGATCGAGCCCCACATCGGGCTCCCTGCTCCACGGGAAGCCTGCTTCTCCCTCTGCCACTCCCCTTGCTTGTATTCCCTCTCTCACTTTGTCCCTCTCTGTCAAATAAATAAATAAAATCTTTAAAAAAAAAAATGGATGTGGAGTTGTGAAGGAGGTGTTAGGAATTATAAGCAATTTATAAGATTACTTCCAGTTTAATTTTTATCAAAAGATAATATCTTTATCTATTTTAAAATCCATTTTAGCATCATTACTTTTCCTGATTTTGACTTGCATTATTATTGATTCATTTTTGCATGGTGTTATCTGGAAAAGAAACATGTAGGGTTTAGCATCAAAAATTTGAAAAGCCTTTGTTTAATTTTTTTTCCTATTTAACGCTTGTTTATATTTTCATTCAGTGCTTTGCTGTCCTGGTGTCACCTTCATGATAATGGTTCGGCTCTGATCAGTAAAATAAATAATCTTCTGGATGCAGTTGGCCAGTGTGAAGAGTATGTGCTCAAACATCTCAAATCAATCACTTCTCAGCCCCATGTTGTAGATTTATTGGACTCTATTCAGGATATGGACCTTTGTCATGTAGCTCCAGCTGAGAAAAAGATGGATGAAGCTAAAGATGAAAGACTCTGTGAAAATAATGCTGAGCTTCACGAAAACTGTAGCAAGAGTCTTAGTGAGGCAGATTGTTCATCTTTAGAATGTTGTAGAATACAGGAGCATGCACATTCTGAAAACCCAAGCCTCACTTGGATTTTAGAACAGACAGCCGGTTTAGTAAAACAGTTGGGAATATCACTTGACATATTACAGCACCTCAAACAACTTTAAAAATTCTCTTCACTTTTCTAATGAAAGTAATGTTCGTAACATTTCTTAGAACATTTTGTTTCTTAACAAACTAACCAAAATTTGTACCAGTTTCTACGTTGAACATATCACTTGTAGGTTATCCTTCATGGAAATTTGCAATATCTTCAAATTAACACTATTCAGTGTAATAAGAGCTTTTTTTCTTTGTCATTGGTAATTTTTATGCCATTTAAGATACGCTCAGAAACTCGAGTTGCCATTGTCATTTTCAAGTTTCTGATCAAAATCAAGCATTTTCAGACTCATTAGCAAGAGTGAACAAGAATCAAACACATTTTGTAAGGACCTAACCCTGCTTTCTGCTCTTGTCACCATCAGGTGGTTAGGACCTTAACACCCACTAATTAGACCAAAGTTACTATAACAGTGGATAACATTGTAAATAGACACACATAGATATATAGAAATATATATATATATATAGAAATTCAATATATATATTGAAATATATATATTGAAATCAAATATATATATTGAAATTATATATATATATTGAAATATATAAGGCTATAAGTGTAAGAAACTGAAGAAATGTTTATACTGATGATTAAAAACAAAATTTGTTTTTGGTTTTGTTTTTTTTATTCACAAGTAATCCCTACACCTAGCATGGGGCTGGAGCTCACAACCCCCAGATCAAGAGTTGCATGCTTCTCCAACTGAGCCAGCCAGGTGCCCCATAAAATTCATTTTAGTTTTATGTTAAAGGCAAGGACATACAATTCCATGGAAAATACAAAATACATTTCATGCTCAAGTACCTGGTTTTTCCACGTATTAAGGAGTTAGTAGTGGTGCCTAACAATGTGCCGGATTTCTAAACAGTTTTGTTTCACATATCCATATAGGAATAAACACTGAAACCACTGACTTATATATTACCCTTAGCAGTATTCTTAGTCTAGCATGGACAAAATTAAGATTCAAGCTTTTGCTCCAGGACCTAAGCATACAAGAACAGGAAAGGATTTTTCAGCACTTTCTTGCCTAAAATACAGAGTTGTATGAGGTGCCTGCCTTCAGACCAGACCTTCTTTTCTCTAAAAGATAGACATACTAAGATAGTGAGAGAATCTGATAAAAGAAGTCTTCCAAGAAATTCATAAAATATTCTATGATCTCACAACCTCCTTCAAGTTCATAGAACATTAAAAGCCGTGCCTGGTGGCTCACAACTTGGGGTTGTGAGTTCAGGCCCCATGTTGGGTGTAGATTGCTTAAAAATAAAATCTTTAAAAAGAAAAGTTCACAGAACATTAAGAAATTAAGCAACAAATTTGAAGTGAGAAGATCATATACTGGGGCGACTGGCTGGTTCCATTGGTGGAGCATGTGACTCTGGATCTTGGGGTTGTGGGTTTGGACTCCATGTTGGATGTAGAGATTACTTAAAATCTTTTTAAAGAAACTAAAAAGAAGACCATATACTGTTTGAAGATTTCTAAAACATGTTGAAGAAATCAAGTGACATTTGACTTAAAAAAAGTGTTTAAGGGCACCTGGATGGTTCAGTCAGTTAAGCATCCCAACTCTTGGTTTCAGCTCAGGACATGATCTCAGGGTCCTGGGATTGAGCCCCACATCGGGCTCTCTGCTCAGCGGGGAGTCTGCTTCTCCCTCTCATTCTCCCTCTGTGCTCTCCCTCTCTCTCAAATAAATAAAAATTTTAAAAAATAAAATCTTTTTTTAAAAAAGTGCTTATATCTCTCTAGGTGTAAACACTATTTCAGATATTTACTAGTTGTCTTGTTTTATATATTTTTTTCCTTGTTTATGGACCAGTCAAAATCTCAAATCCACAGGGGATGTTATAAGCAGTCTCTAAAGTCTTCAACTGTTGTTCTGCCCTGCGTATTAGATATGAAATCTCCATCTCTAATGATACATCTCAAGAAAGTCACACCCGCGTGAAAATTACGCCAGTGCAGTAAATCTTTGAGATTTTATGTGGGCTCACCCTGCTAAGATTCTCTGCAGATAATACCCCTTGCCACTACTGATAATACGGTGTTTTTGTGCAGATTTCATAGAGGAATCAAGAGAATTAGCTGAGTTGATGAGGCTGTTTGGTCGAAAACAACTCTTAAACTTGCTTTGCCTTTGAAAGAAGTTTCTGGCCTGCAGAAATGGATGTTAATGGTATGCCAATCATACCTATGTCTAATGAACATGAGCCTCTGTACTAGAACCAGCAGGAGTGAGGGAAAGAAAGCCTGCTTGCCGTGTCTTTTGTCCTGACTCATGCTGTAGGCCTGCCGGCTGTTGCCATGGTCAGACCCCGGATGACCATAAAGGTAAAGCAAGACCGCAGGTGCAGCCAGAGTTGTAAGGCCCAGAACCCATACATGAGGCCTGAGGGGTGTGGCCTCCTTACAAATGGAATTTTCACCCTAAATAATTTCTAGATGCTGAAAACCCTGGAGCTCTTTAGTTTGCTTTAATGGAAGGAAGAGTCCACAATTCTCTGCTTTTTGGACATTTTCAGTTGCTAGAGCTGCTGAGGCCACCAAAATAAAAATAAAAATCTTACTAATTTCAGACCAATGGATGAAGTAAATGTCATATGCTATGTTAATAAACTACCGATCAGACTTCTGGCTCGACAGAAATTCTCAAATCTCTATCCTGATGGTACTTGACCCATAGTCGGCCTTTCTTGCTTCTGCTGTCACCGCCTCTTCCTGACAAACTACCAGAAGAGGAGTCTGCTGTCGCTCTCAGACTGTTTTCTGCTCATTCACTCCTCAGCGTCCACCTGCTTCTTCTTAAGGTCACCTGTGGCTGAGCTCCCACAGCGGCCCCTCCCTGACTTGTTTCCCCCGTCACTGGACATGGTGACCATCCCCGGCTTTTTTACAGTCCCTCCACTTGCCTTCAGCAGCACGTTTTCTCACCCTGCTTACCCTGGTCTCTCGCTGTTTCCTACCATTTGCTAAGTCTCGCCTTCTCTGCCTGCCTGAGGATTACACACTTTCATCCATGGACCTCTTTTTATTTTTATACCCTAACCAGATCGTCTCACTTGCTCCCACAGTTTCAAACATACTATCCCAAAGCTGATGTTCCCACGCCTCTTTCTCTCCCAAGCTCTAGACCTGTACTTCCGACTGCAATGTATGCCTACCTGAGTCGGGGCTTAGCTGCAGAGCACGCCTAAAACTGACCTCGGTTCCATCTTCTCCCCTCCCCCGCCACCCAAACTGCTGTGCCTTTTGTACTTGCGATCTCCTCCTGTAATCTCTGTTCACTCAAAGCCGGAAAGTTTTTTTTTAATCGAGATATAATTGATACATAACACTATATTAGCTTTGGGCAGACAGTATAATGATTTGATATTTGTATATAATGCAAAGCTGTCACCACAATGAGCTTAATTAACATCCATCACCACTCACAGTTTTACGATTTTTTTTTCTTGTAATGAGAACTTTTGAGATCTACTCTCTTAGCAACTTTCAAATATATAATGCAGTATTATTAACTATAGTCACCATGCTGCACATTACATCCCCATGACATTTATTTTATAAATGGTTTGTAAAAAGCTAGAAACGTTTAAGTTTTTCTCTGCTTTTCCTTTGCTATCGACCCTACTTCCAATGGGGAGTTTATCTGTCTTACTTTAAAACATGCCTTGAGGGGCACCTGGGTGGCTCAGTTGGTGAAAGGGTTGCCTTCGGCTCACGTCACAATCCCAGGGTCCTGGGATCGAGCCCACCATTGGGCTCCCTGCTCAACGGTGAGTCTGCTTCTCTGTCTCCCTCTGCCCACCTTATCCCGCTCGTGCTCTTTCTCTCTCAAATAATTAAATAAAATCTTTAAAAAAAAATGCCTTGAATCTGGCCCCCCTTTCATTCTAATCGCCAAAATTTAATTAACCTTTGCACCAGCCTCATCACTAATGTCAGTACCTCCAATCTAGCGGTCTTCCTGTCCATGCTCCCCTGCCACCCTTATCTACCGAAACAGGTTCCTTCTAGAGTTTAAAGTCTGTATTTATTCCCTTTTTTCTACTGGCTAAATTATAAACTTGAATTTCATTTCTGGACCTCCGCGGAATTGTCCATGTGATTTCCCATCCTGCCTTCTGCTTCACTGTGCACTCTCCACCTCTTGATGAACAATACGCCATGCTTTCTGGACAGTTCCCAACTTCTAATTTTATTCATTGCTCACCCTTCTCCCCAGAATATTTTATTCCACATCCATCCTTCCCAGCAAATTCCTACTTAACCTTCAGTACCAGCTCAAATTTCAACTTCCCCAGGCCCAGTTAGCTCTTTCCAGTATTCCCTCTGCATCATTTTGAGTATCTCAGACTTCAAATTTATTCAGGAAATTGCCTTATTCATTGTTACATCCCCCGCACTTAGCATCATAACCTATACTTAGGTGGTGCTTGACTAGAGAATAAGTGAATCTACTAGACAAAATGAAAAGAAAACCAGAAATTTTAGGATTCAAAATACATCATGTTCTTTTGTTTTTAACAGGGAAAAGGAACCTTTGTATTTAACTTTAAGAAAAAAATTTTCCTTTCATTTTGCATGTCAGTAAAGTCCACTTAACCAAATTGTGTCATCATCTTATACCAGCCTAAACAGTAGCATTAAGACAATACTACTTACCAGGGCGCCTGGGTGCCTCAGTCAGTTGATTTTGGCTCAGGTCGCGATCTCGGGATCATGATCTCAGGGTTGTGATCTCAGGGTCCTGAGATCAGGCTCCATGTGGGCTCCATGCTCAGCGGGGAGTCTGCTTGGGATTCTCTCACCTTCTGCCCACCTCCAAATAAATAAATCTTTGGGGGAGAAAAGGCAATACTACTTATCAATCATTTAAAATTGCACTAATGAATAAAATTACAGTATAGTTTTTAAAGATACAAAATTATATTTGGAGTACAGTTTCAGCTATTAAGCAAGAAAGAACAGAAAGAAACCGCAGGAGAAAAAAACTGGAAAGAAACAAAAATACTTGTTTCTAGCAGGATGCCTGGTGCCTAATCTCTGATAGCAGTAAGGAGCTGGAGGAAATGAAGGAGTGGGGAAAAAATAGCTAACAAATACAGTGTTCATGATATACAAGCACTGTTCTGAAAACTTCTCATATATTAATTCACTTATTATTCACAACAACC